GAGGACCCCTCTCAGGAAAAGCAAATTTCTTGAAAAGTCTTCCATGCTGGTGCTCCACCAACAGCCTTGCGGGGCAAATAACCTCCGAACCTACCCCTACAGATATCGCTGTTTTAGAGGAACTTACTCACAACACAGCTAGTCCACAGTATTCAGCCTGTTTGGAGGTCATTTGTTAATGTTAAAGATTCAAGCTCCCTAGAAGTATCATAATCTGAGTTGAATTTGGCTCTGTGGTGTGTATGGCTTGTGGGAGATGTTTATGCTATAATGCCCACACCAAACAGAGTCTAAGATTTCCCAGTGGAAAAGTTTACTCCTTTCGATAACAGGTTTTTTTTTAAGATATTACTTATTTATTTGACACACAGAGAGAACACAAGCAGGGGGAGTGTCAAGCAGAGGGAGAGGGAAAAGCAGTCTCCCTGCTGAGCAGAGGCCAGATGGGACACAGGGCACAATCCCAGAACCCTGAGATGATGACCTGAGCTGAAGGTAAACATTTAACCAACTGAGCCACCCAGGCGCCCCTATCCTATAACTATTGTTTCTATGACTTGGGGTCAGTTTCACTTTTTCCCATTTAACAGGGCCCTTTACATTCCAAAAAAACCTCAGTTTTCCTCCTTGTTTTGCAAGATGTTTACATGTTCTTCTAAAGCAACTGACTTTATTTTTTGTCCTAAAGGAGAAAGTAAGACAGATGCTACTAATATCACACAGACTAATTAAAAAACCCAAGGGACAGGAAGTAGAAGAACCATTTATTTAAAAAAACAAACAAACCAAAAAAAAAACCTTAATTGATCCAGTTTGTCTTCATTTATGATCCTCCTGAGAGGTCTTTGGCCTGGGACCTGCTGTGTGGGACATCGTACCTGCTCTGTGTGGCTATGCCCTAACAACAGGTGTGGATATAACAGAATTTGACATGAAGGAGTCCTGCTTCACCCGTCACCCTAAATGCTGTTCTAACTGCCTGTACAGTTTAACATGCCTCCCACAAAGCCTTCAAATGATTGGGTCTCTGGGGCAGCCATCGACGGTGGTACAGCAGGTTTGAAAGTGAACAAGGCAGGTAGTCAAATGCACATCACAGCTGGGAGCCAGGACCTCATGGACCTCTGTGCCCCCCTGGCCTTAGCCCACTGAGAGTCTTTTATCCGTTCAGAATTCTGGGTTCGTTTTGTTTTGTTTTGTCTTGTCTTATCTTGATTTTTCCTAACTCAGGAATAAACTTTGCTATGGACTGAATACAACAAATTCATATGTTGAAGCCCTAATTCTCAGCGTGACAGCACTGAAGGTGGACCTTTGGGAGGTGATGAGGTCATAAGGGTGGAGCCCTGGTGAATGGGATTCATGCTCTTGAAGGTAGAGACATGAGAGAAATCACTTTTCTCTCTGCCATGTGAGGATACAGCAGGAAGACAACTGTCTGCAAATTAGGAAAAGAGCCCTTAACAGACACAGAATCTGCCCGCACCTTCATCTCGAACCTCCCAGCCTCCTGAACTGTGAGAAATAAGTATTTGTTGTTTTTAAGCCACTTAGTCTATGGTTAATAGCAGCCTGAGCCGGCGAAGAAAAAACCCCACAAGTCTTAGTCAGAGGCAAAATCCATGCTAAGGACCACTTGCCAAACTGTCTCCCAAGGACGGTAATTAATCCCATCTATCCTATCTGTACAAAAGGTGAAAGAAGGCATTATATGGGGAGAATCATCCCAGCAGGATAGGAATGTATTAAAGGTGGGTTTTTTTGGGGCGCCTGGGTGGCTCAGTGGGTTAAAGCCTCTGCCTTTGGCTCAGGTCATGATCTCAGGGTCCTGGGATTGAGCCCTACATTAGGCTTTCTGCTCAGCAGGGAGCCTGCTTCCCCCCACCCCCCCACCTCTCTCTGCCTGCCTCTCTGCCTACTTGTGATCTCTGTCAAATTAATAAATAAATAAATCTTTAAAAAAAAAATAAAGTTGGGTTTTTTCTTTAGTAAAGACAAAGACACTAGTGACCCTGTATTTGTGGCTGAGGTGGCTTCATGGAGAAGGTGGGATTTGATGGCCCCTGGGGAAATAAACCCTCAAGAACCACCTGTTTTTACAAAAAGCTTGTTCATCACTGGGATTCACCTCCACTGAGATGGTAGGATCAGCTCAGGCTGGGTGGCTAGGCCTCCCCTCCAATCCCTGACTGGCCTCAAGGAACACACATTGTTCCCTAGGCCTGAAGTCCAAGTGGAGGGCGTGCTTTAGCCTTGAGGTCCCTGGTGCCCTGGTGCACATGGAGTTGCACTTTATGAAAAATCATGAAGAGGGTGCCTGGGTGGCTCAGTGGGTTAAGCCTCTGCCTTCGGCTCAGGTCATGATCTCAGTGTCCTGGGATCAAGCCCCACATTTGGCTCTTTGCTCACTGGAGAGCTAGCTCTCTGCTCAGAGGAGAGCCTGCTTCCCTCTCTCTCTGCCTGCCTTTCTGCTTACTTGTGATCTCTCTCACTCACTATCAAATAAATAAAATCTTCTTAAAAAATCATGAAAGATTTTATTTTTTTAAATATTTTTAAAGATTTTATTTATTTATTTATTTGACAGAGAGAGCCCTGCTGAGCAAGGAGCCACCCAGGTCCCCCATGAATAAGGATTTTTAAATATTTACTTTTGGGATAACTGGGTGGTTCAGTCGGTTAAGCGTCTGCCTTCGGCTCAGGTCATGGTCTCAGGGTCCTTGGATCTCAAGTCCTGCATTGGGCTCTCTGCTCAGCAGGGAGGCTTCTTCTCCCTTTGCCTGCTGCTCCCCCTGCTTGTGCTCTCTCTCTCTCTCTGATAAATAAATAAATAATACCTTATAATAAAAAATTTATTTTTTCTTAACTATTTTCCCCAATTTAATCGATATGATCACTTTCCCATGGAGAAGAAAATATACTGCTAAAAAAGAAAGACACTATGTCATCCTTACTCTCTCCTACCCACCCACCAACTATGTGACGGCTGAGAGTGTGACTTCAGTTCCTGGCATTGCACCACCCAGCTTGGAGTTGGAACTGAAAAGGCCTCCCTGCTAAGGCTCTGTAGGCAAAGGGTGATGACAAAGGCTAGAAAGGAGATCTGTGCTACTTAACAAGACATTTGCAAAACAACAGACTAGTAAGTATGTTGGAAAACTGACAAAAGTATATCCCTCTTATGATTGTGAGGATTTTAGGTGGTTTTTCATAGTTAACATTTTATAAGGAAACAGGAATATTCAGAAAGACTGAACAAAATCCCAGGGTAGCACGAAGAATTAATTACAAAAAAGCATAGAGAGAAGACCTTAACAAACAACAGCATACATAATTTCTCTCATGGCCTCAATAGTCAATCTCTTGATGGTTCTTCAACTTTTATTTTCATCAACATTCAGTTTATTTCTCAGCAAAACTTAGGTTTCTTATTCATTGCCCTTATGTAAAATTAACAGTATGTTTCCTGTGTTATGCTTGTCCTTTTTTTTTTCTTCCCCTAAATGCTTTTTTAAATGGCACGACAGGGTGTAGGATGTTTGATGTTCTCAGAGTTACCATGAGTCCTGGGCTGTAAATAAATCATGAATGTACCACATCATTCATGAATTATTCATTTTTTTTCTTGAGCTTTCTATAGAAGACTATGCATCAAAATAAAATTCAAACTATTGAAACCTTAGGTGGTTTCAGATTACTAAAAGAGCTGGTTATTCAGCCTTGCAGTAAAAAAAATATTTTTTTTTAATCTATGGTTATGTAAAAATTCTTACCAGCTGGAAGAAGTCTAACGTTCCCTATGCTTACCAACACTTACACTTACACTTACCCTATACTTACCCTACCTTCCCTACACAACAGAGGTGATCACAGAGATCACAGGGGGCTTAAAGGTATAGAGGCCTCAGGTGGTGGGGTATATATTTCAGTTTTTTATTTGAAAATTGTTTTTTCCCATAACAAGGCATCCTTTTCAGTCTTTGGGCTTATAGCCCAATTCCACGGTTGTCTGATAGTACAATTTCTCCTCTTTTACAAACGAAGCACAGGCTGTCCCCAACTTACTAAGTACCCAACCTACTAAATTCCAAATCCTCATTCAGGAGTTGTTTGGTTGGAACAGATTAAACACGTTTCCCCAAAGAGACAAGAAGAGTGGTTCTGTCCCCAGGCAAACTCACAGCCTGTTCACCCACGAGGTACAAGAAATATGAATCTAATGACAATCTAGAATGTCATCAACGGGTAGAAGCATACTTCTATGGAAAACTGTGTTCGGTATTTCAACTTGGGGTAGGAAGAACAGACCTCAGTGTTTATGTCACGCAGGCTTGAGGCTGATCCAGGGCTGGGAAGAATAGGAAACCACAAGGAGAGTTATGTATAGACATGGATGTATATATGGGTGCACCCATGTGAATGGTTGATTCTTAATTCTAGGGGTTTTTGAATTCAAAATTATGTTTCACATGTATTTCATGCATATGTATACACACAAACACATATTTTCTAGAAAGATAGTCTATTCCTTTCATTAGATTTTTGAAAGGATCTCAGATCTTCAAACTCAAAAACACTAAGAACCATCCCTCTAGCAGATATGAATAGGGAATGAGATGGGACTTCTTGCCAGTATCATTTTTCCATCCTATCAATCTCCCAAGACATTTAGAATAAACGAAAATGTTTTCCTGCTCTCTGGGCTCCACTAAGACCTGATTTTAAGATCAACATTCCTCTCCCTTCTGATGTACTAGGAAACAGGACCTCCTGTTCTGGAAGCAGTTTTTAATAGTTCCTGCTGCCTGTTAATATATGAAAGTGTATGCAGAATTAATGTCTCCTTCTTTCTTTCACCTTTCCTGTTTTTCTTTTCTGTCTCCCTCCTCTGTCCATCTGTTTGTCTGTCTTTCTCTCTGTCTTGTTCTCTCTTACTTGGTCAAAAGGTGCTGGTCAAAGGGAGGCTTGAAACACAGAATACTCAAGTTAGAACCACTTACATTTCAGAGGAATGTGTTCTCAGGTCTTCTGCGATGCAGATGTCTTGCTGGTTCTGCTTTGGAGCACGTCTGTCTGTTCTGTCAATGAGAACTGGTTTGATCTCTTGAGGTTTGGAGGGTGAGAAAAGGTGGAAGTGAGAGACGAGTTACTCCACGTAGCCTGAATCAATGTTATAGATGCAGAGACTTCAAACTGTTCATCCACTTGTTTGTTCTGTTTAGTCAGTAAGCACCTACTGTATGCAGAGAATTATGCTGGGCTCTGAGGGATACAAGGACTGAAAGTTCTGGTCTTCTCCTCTGAGCAACAATGTCATAGGAAGATGGACATACAAACACACAAATACAAAACATATTCAATTGCTAGAAAGGAGGTATGTATTTTCAAGCAGTGGAAGCAAGGAAATAGAAATAATTCTGTTCATTGGGGTAGAGGTAGTGGTGGGAGATTCTATTTTGAGAAAGGTAAATCCATAGCCAGGAACACACCAGGGTTCTAGCTCCAGGGCAAGACACTTGGCTCTTCAGCTTCCCCATCTTGAGTTTCTGCATCTGAACGTGATGGGATGGACCATCTCTGGGATGTGGTCAGAAAAAAGGGCATTCAGACTAACTGACTAAACTGACCTGGGGCCTGCTTCCAAGCCCTAAGCCCTGCCTCTTCCTGTGCCTCAGTTTGCCCATCTTCTCAGGCCTTCCATTCTACCTGTTATATGAGAAAATTAACGACTACTTTTCAGGATTGATGCAAGGTAACTAAGGATTAAATGTTAGTTCTTATTCCTCCTTCTTCTTTTCACTTCTTCATGGGGTTCTGGTTATTGTGAAATTCTTAGGCCAGGTGATAATGAATCACCCCAACCTCTCCCACCATTTATCTAATTTTTTTTTTCCTGATGTATTTGAGGCTATGAATTCTGTTTAGGAGAATAAGTGAAGTTTTTCTGATTTTTTGCTTTAAACTTTTATGGGAATTATGTTTGCTAATATCAAGAATGTAAGGGCATCTGGATGGCTCAGTTGGTTAAGCATTTGCCTTCAGCTCAGGTCATGATCTGAGCCCCAAGGCAGGCTCTCTGCTCAGCAGGGAGTCTGCTTCTCCCTCTCCCTCTGCCCCTCCTCCCTGGTCGTGCTCTCTCTTTCTCTCTCTCTCTCTCTCTCTCTCAAATAAATAAAATCTTTTAAAAAAAGAATGTAAAGTCAGGGAAAAAATTTTAAGCTAACAATTCTTGACCAGCTACTATGTGTATTAAGTACCATACATAGACTTTAATCTCATGACAACCTGACAAAGCAATTATTATTATTATCCTCTGTACTAGTCAGGGTTCTCCAGAAGAACAGAACCAATAGGATGTATGTATATATATATTTATCATAGGGAATTGGCTTGCATGATTATGGAGGCTAACAAGTCCACGATCTGCAGGGTGAATCAGCAAGCTGGAGACCCAGAGGAGTCAATGGTGTAGTTATAATCCAAAGGCCAGTGGGGCTGAGATCCAGGAAGAGCTAATGTTTCAATTCTATTCTGAAGGCAAGACAATGCCAATATCGCAGTTCAAAGCCATCAGGACAGAACTCTTTTTTTTTTTTTTTAAGATTTTATTTATTTATTTGACAGATAGAGATCACAAGTAGGCAGAGAGGCAGGCGGGAGGGGGTGGGAGGGAAGCAGGCTCCCCGGCCAAGCAGAGAGCCCCATGTGGGGCTTGATCCCAGAACCCTGGGATCATGACCTGAGCTGAAGGCAGAGGCTTTAATCCACTGAGCCACCCAGGCGCCCCAGGACAGAATTCTTTCTTACCAAGGGGTAGGGTAAACCTTTCTGTTCTATGAAAGTCTTCAACTGTTTGGATGTGGCCCATTCACATTAGACCCTAAAGCAAGCTGCTTTACTCAGATTGGTCTCACGAACTACCCTCCAGCTACTGAAGAGTTAATGCCTGGCAGAGTGGGGGGTCTCAGGAGCTAATGTCTGATTGGCTGCTGCCTTGGCCACACTTGTGATTAAATATTCTAATTTCAACCCTGGCTCTCCCAATCACCCACTGCATTGGTTCAAAGATAAATTGCTTAACTTACTGGCCTCAGTTTTCTTCTCAGTGAAATGAGGGGTAAAAATACCACCTAGCTTGCTGACATGATGTGAGGAGTAAATGAGAGTATAAATCAAGTGTCTGGCTTAGAGAAGACACTCAAGGAACAACAACGATTACCGTTATTAAATGAGATAATCCTTGCAAGGCACTTAGCAGTGTGCATAGAGTTAGGGATCCATAAAGATGAGGTACCTTCACCTCATTACTATTTAGAAAATAGAAATTATTTCAAAAATAATAGAAAATGAAATTATCTAGAAAAATTCTCCACTGATTGACAGGTGAAAACAAATGACTTGTAGCCAGTAACTCAAAAATTCTGCAACTCCATATGGCATCTATGGCAGACATGTTTCTATGCCTCTGACATCAGAAACTGTCATGCTATCCAAGATTCCCTCCAGGAGAAAATACTCTCTGAGGATTGTAACATAGGTTTTTCCACTGCTAACGGGATAATTTCACATGCATTTGCACACTTAAGCAGGGTTGGCCATTATAAAACTTATTGAATACTGTCTATTCTCCAAGAGGGCATGTTCAGGGATATCCTGATTGTGTCCAGATGGTTTTGACTATCTGTATGGAACTATCTAGCTGATGAAGTATGTCCTCAGCCTTGAATCAGGAAATGTTCAGCCAGCAAAAAGATAATTCAAATCCTTCTTTGCATAGCCTTATAATGTGCACTCTTCAATTTGGATCTTCTATAGAAAAGTGGAATGATCTTACTTGACCTCCAACTCACTCCATGTGATTGTTAACATCCCCACTATCATGACTCCTATGGACTGCTGCCAGCAATGTTCTTATATCAGTATCTGCATCTCCCAGTGGAAAAAGGGTCTCTTATTTAGATGCTTTTTAAAAATCTGTATAATTGTCCAAAGATTTTAAAAAATGACATGCAATCCCATACCAAATTCTAATTACTATAAACCTTCACTTTGTTTTTCATAGCCCAAGCAAAAAGCCTAGGCAAATTCCCTCCTCCCTTGTGACAATGTTCAGGATACACTCCCCAAACCATGGCACCTTGAGTACTGAATATTTTAAGCAGAAGGAATTTAAGAAATAGCATGAGTGGAAAAAGTTTTCTGACCTTCCCCTGAAGTAGGACACAAAACTCTCATGCAAAAAGTGCCCTTCTTACAGGCAGAGGAAAGGACCATTCTTATCTCTAAGACACCAAGATGAATCTGAACCAACAGGCCTTGCCGGATCCCCATGTTTACCACACTCAGCTCACACCCCTTCTCGTTCTGTCACATTCTCCCCTGACTTTCCACTCTTCATCAAACCTAGTGTAAGAAAAAATACACTCAGGTTTGACTGCTTCTTTGGGTCTTCATTTCCTTATGAAGTTTCCCATGTCCTGTAAAATTTATGCTAAATCAATGTGTAAGATTTTCTCTTGTTAACCTATCTTTTGCTATAGGTGCCCCAACCAAGAACTCAGAAGGACAGGGGAAAAAGATATTTTTCCTCCCCTACGCTTGTTTTCCTCACATCCCCAACATGTCTTACTAATTTATCTTCAATCATTGTCTCGCACACTGAACATACTTTATCCCCTAAAACTTTTGAGATCTAATAGGTTGCATAATTGAGAATTGTCTGGACTTTAGAAAGGTAATGTGGTACATATACTGTATTTTATTTTATTTTTTGTTTGTTTTTTTAAGATTTTATTTATTTATTTGACACAGAGAGGCAGCGAGAGAGAGAACATTAAGCAGTGGGAGTGGGAGAGGGAGAAGCAGGCCTCCTGTTGAGCAGGGAGCCCGATGTGGGGCTTGATCCCAGGACCCTGGGATCATGACCTGAGCCAAAGGCAGACGCACTTAACGATTGAACCACCCAGGCACCCCTGTATTTTAAATAATACATCCAACTGGGGCTGGGGAAGCATCCCATAATCAAACACATTTATATTTTAGTATCGTAACATACAAATATTCAACCAAATGACATAAAGACTACAGGTATCATTTCAGGTCTGATTTTGCCACCACATGAGTTTTCTACAAACTTAAAACATTTTGTTTCAGAGCTTTTTTGACTTTGGAATCACAGATTTTAGATCATAAAATAATTTTGCAGGGGAAACAACTCTTGCATTTCATATTTCCTTTCAAATGAATGGTATCCTGTTAGTTACGCTCTTGGCCTCTCTCCCTATGGTCCTATACTCAGCAATGGTAATGGGGGTGGCAGGTGCTGGGCAGTGATTAATCTGATTGGTACACTTGGCAAAAATAAACTGGGCATTGTCCACCCAGCTCCACACATTTTGCTCTTGGGAAGCAGCTGGTGCTCTGCCTTCTTAGGTCTTGGCCTTTTGCCCAATTTGGTCATGATCCTTATTTCAAACTTAGAATTTATTATTATTATCATCATCATTATTATTATTAACAATATTTTGGCTTCCATCTGCCACCCTTTGTCTTGTTTCTCAGTTGGTTAGGAATTCAGATGAGAAAAAGCCTGACCTCTCAGAGACTACAGTGTTTGGTCCTTGGCTGGGAATATTGAGAAACTGAAACAGTGAGATTTTGGTTGAGAACAATATACCTGCAGGGACTATTTTGGCAATGCCATGACCTGTGACTTTGTGGCCTGGATTTGGATGTGTCAGCAGGGCCTTTGACTCTGAATGTTTCTAAAGTTTATGTTAGGCCAGGCAGGTTTTCACAGCTGTCCATTAAACCAAGTTGTAGAACTTGAGAAGTGTATCTCAAGTTTGGAGCAAAAAGTATTCTGGAATTTTACAGAGAAAACATTTTATAGAGAAAACAGCCATCATGGAGTGACCCTTAGAACAATCTTGGTCAAGGGCAACTGGGTGGCTCAGTGGGTTAAGTCTGCCTTCAGCTCAGATCATGATCCTGGGGTCCTGGGATCAAGCCCCATGGCAGGATCCCTGCTCAGCAGGGGAGTCTGCTCCTCCCTCTCTCTCAGCCCCTCCCCCTGCTTGTGCTTTCTCTCTCTCTCTCTCTCA